GTTGTGGTGGCCACCGGTAAAAGCAAAGCTAATTTCACAAGTAAAAAAACTAATGGATACACAATATGTTTCTTTGTCTCCACCAATTTTTTAGCAAGAGAACCAACTTGTGTAATATCTATAAATGCAGAGCTGGAGCGTGCATCAAGAATAAAAGTTTCAAGTTGACTGTCAAGAGCAAGAACATCTACCGGTGAAAAGACAAAAGGATATAATCGAGCCATGCGAATCAACTTGTCCTTGTCAAAAGATGAAAAAGTGTCTTTAGGACTAAGGCAAGCCACACAAAGAGGCAATTCTGTAGAAATCTCTGTGAATCGATTGTTCAACTCCTCACGTTGTCTGTCCACCACAACATAGAACAAGTCCACTTTGTAACGATGTAAGTTTCTGATTTGGATAACTTTGCGATGGACTCTCCCATGAGGTACATAAAAATCATTCATACTTGGAATTGAAATTTTATTCTTTTCACAAAAAGAAGAAACTTCACCAAAGAGAATATCCCATCCTCCGTCTCTTAAATTTTGCAATCGTTCTTTGGCAACTTTAACCAATTCCACAGCATTAACAATATCTTGATCCTTTCTTTGCAAACATTTTGACAACTCATTTGTTATTCCAAGAACACTCTTTATCAAGTGTAAGGTGAAAACAAAATCAAAACATTGGACCAATTGCAAGAGTGTTTGAGCTTCAACTCGTTGTTCAGAATTTGAACCATGTTTCTGATTTGGGAATTGCGACCGGAGGAGCGAACTGCGACCGCCGACCGAGGGTTTCCAATTTCAACGATTTGGGAATTGGGAATGTGACTTACGACGTTCAATTGTTTCTTTTTTTTTTTTTGCAGCAGGAGTTGGAGTTCAATCAGCGATTTGGGCACAGACTTTTCAATTCTCTTTTGCTGACTTTTAAATTTGGTGTTCCAACTTTTAAAATTTTTAAATTGACCCCCATTCTTTTAAATGTTGGATGGTGTCAATTTATATTTATGAAAGATTATCTATTTGGAAAAAAAATCCAGTGGTGTCAATTTTAATTTTTTTTTATATATACCTACATATGGAAAAAAAAATTCCAGTGGTGTCAATTGACACCACTGGCCAAAGGGTGGCTCCGCCACTGCCCTCATGCATAAGCTAACAACGTAGGAGTTAGAAAGAATAATTTTTACAGTCAATGTTCAATCTATTGATGATGAATATGTTGAATTCCCACACCAAAAACTTGTGAATGAATTAAGTGTTATATTAAAATCTGGATTATTCCTCTTTTTAGTTGACCTTTTAGGATAGAACCTCAGGTCTTAACATGGTATCAGAGCCAAGTATGTTTGTGGTTTGACGGCTTGTTTGGCACCCATGATTAAGGATAGCTGGTTAAGGGCATGTTAAAGTATTTGTCCCACACCGAAGAGCTATGAAACAATACAACACTATATAAGACTTTGGACTAATCTTCATATCAGGTTGACCTTTTAGGATGGAATCCGCCCAGGTCTTAACAGAATATAAATATAAATATGAATCTCTATCCTATCGATCGGTTAGCCGGTATACAATTGATCCTAGCTATTAGTTAGGTACTATACAATTCTATCTAAGTAGTGCAGTGAGCTATTCTCCTTGGCTAACAACTTTGACTAATCAAAGATACAACATTAAATAATGCTCCGTATATACAAGAGATAATGGATAATAATTATTAGGGAAAAGGGGCAAATAAGCCCTCGAACTAACCAAAAAAGGTCAAATAAGCCCTTATATAGGAGGCTCTGTCCGGTCATCGTCGTTTGGGGAGGTTCCCGGTGAAATTTTTTGATGAAATGTTTTGAGCATCTTCTCCATTAAGTCTAGTTTATCCATACCAAATTTCAGCTAAAACTTCAGCCGGGAAGACAGTCAAATGATTTTTTGAAGATAACTGTGCAGTTAAACATCGCAATATATTTCAGAAACTCATTTGACTGCCTTCCCAGTTGAATTTTTAGCTGAAATTTGGTATGGATAAACTAGATTTAATGAAGAAGATTCTCACAAAATTTCATCAAAAAATTCCATCAGAAACCTCCCCAAACGACGATGGCCGGACAGAGCCTCCTAAATAAGGGCTTATTTGACCTTTTTTGGTTAGTTCGAGGGCTTATTTGCCCCTTTTCCCTAATTATTAAGATAAAAATGCAGAAATCATGCAGACGTCAAGTGCTCTTGCTAATACACCCCCACAGTTGATGCCTTGACGGGGAAGGTGAACTGACGCAGAGACTGGAATGAAATTCATCAAAGAGGACCCGCGGTAAACCGTTTAGTGAATATATCAGCGAACTGATGGTGAGACATGACATGGAGAACTTTAACCTCACCACGAGCAACCTTTTAGCGGACAAATGAATGTCCATTTCTATATGTTTTATACGTTGGTGTTGGTCAGGGTTACCAACCATGTAAACGGAACTGATATTATCACATTAAACAATGGTGGCTTTTGCAAGAGGGCAGTGAAGTTCAAGTAATAAGTTTCGGAGCCAACATGTTTCGGCGACAACATTAGGAACACCCTGGTATTTGGATTTGGCACTAGAGAGAGATAATGTGGGCTGCCCTTTTGAGGACCAAACTAAGACAGTAAGTTATCACCCCAAAATACACAATAGCCAGACGTGGAGCGGCGGGTGTCCCGGCAGCCGACCCAATTGACGTCGGAGTAAGCAACCAAAGAAGAAGTGGAGGAAGGGCGTAGGTAAAGACCCAGGTGAAGCGTGCCCTTAATGTACCAAAGTATGTGTTTTAACACATGTAAGTGTGCAGCTTGGGGTTCATGCATGAATAAACAAATTTGTTGAATGGCGTTGAAGATGTCGGGCTGAGTGAATGTGAGATATTGTAGAGCCCCAGTGAGGCTACGATAGGAAGTGGGATTAGTAACACTAGGGTTGGACGTGGCACTTAGATTTGTCTAAGTGTCAAGCGGGGTAGTTGTGGCCTGACAATCGGACATTCCAATACGAGCTTAGATCTCAGTAGCATATTTAGTCTGTGATAAAAATAACCCCTCAGAATTGCGAATAACAAAGATGCCTAGAAAATATAGGGGACCCAGATCACTCATAACAAATTCAGATTTCAGTGTAGCAATGGTGGAGCAACGTAGATTTTCTGAAGAAGCCGTGAGTATTATGTCATCGACATAGAGTAGTATATAAGCAAGGTCAGACCCTTGTTTGAGAATGAACAGAGAATGATCACTACGGTTATGCTTGAAGCCGATGGTAGCCATAAAGATAGAAATGCGGTGATACCATGCATGAGGGGGGGGGGCTCTCTCTTGAGGTCATATAAAGATTTGAGGAGGCGAAAAACATATGTCGGACGTGAGGAGTCACCAAACCCGATGGTTTGTTCATGTAAACGGTTTCATCAAGATGGTCGTGGAGGAAAGCATTTTTTAAGTCCAATTGGTGCAACGACCAAGAGTGTGAGAGAGCCAAAGTGAGTAATGTACGAATTGTAGCGGGCTTTACAACAGGGCTAAAAGTTTCATCACAATCAATGTCAAGTTTTTGTCAACGATCATTGACAACAATGTAGGCTTATGACGCTCCAAGGATCCATCGGACTTGTAATTATGCTTAAAAAACCACATACAATGAATAACATTAGTATTGGGAGGACCCGGGACCAACCCCCACGTCTTATTTTTAATAAGGGCACTAAACTCATCATGCATTGGTGTTTTCCAATTTAAGTCATGGAAAGCTTGAATAGGAAATACTTGTAATACAAAATTGGGACAAGAAATATTTGGGCAACATGGTCGCCATGTCTGAATTGACGTGCCACCATTCTGTGATTTGTGGAATTGATCGTGAGTTGACTTGTGATCTTCGAGATTTGTTGCTAGTCATGTAGCTTCCTGGAAGTAGCACCATGCATGTGCAATTGTGTAAGTGGTTGCGCACCACGCGTGTAGCGGCATGTCATGCAGTCTTGGCGAGAGTAGTAGTTTGTCACGTTGAGGTGATGATTGCACCATGTGGTGCCTAGCATGCCATGCTCAAATCTCCTAATAGAGGTAAGACTATGTCATGTTCAGCATGTCATGTCTGAATCCCCAAGTAGAGGTAAGATTGTGTTGTGTTGTGCTTAGCATGTCATGTCAAAGTCTCATTGTAGAGATAAACCATGTCATGCTCGACACACCGTATCCTTGTAAATGTGACTCCATGTCTCTTATCCTGAATGTGCTGACCATGTCTCTCCCTGGGCCTGATGTCCACACTTGTGTGGCCCATCTTATATACGGGCTCAGCCTGCATTCAATCGGGCTTATCATAGTGGGCCAAACAGTAGGCCGCTATTTATGTTATCACAAATCAAACATAAAACGGATAGAAATAGAAGGAAATAGATATACCCTGCCCACCTCTATCTCAACAACAACAAAAAGTACTTGCACATAAAGAGGTTGTTTGGTAACACTGTTTTCAATTTATCATGCTTATCAGCCGGCTTTTTAACTAAGCACGTAACTTTTGTTTTCGCGTGCTGAATTGTGTGATAATAAGAAAAAATAAGGTTGTGTTCTCCGGTAATAATTTTGTTTTCTTCCACTTTTGGTAAAAAAAATGTCATCTTTTTCTAAAAATGTCAAAAAGATGGCATAATCACTCTCCAATATGCCAACATTTTCATTGAATATGCCATCACTATGACATTATTTAAAATGTTGGCATATTTTTCTTCGGTGATGGAAGCTTGTGGTGCTGGGTGGCAGGGGTGGTAATTTTTTTTTTAATTTTACGTTTTTTTTTTAATTTTTTTAAAAAACATTTTTTTAAAAAAAATATTTTTATTATTTTTCTATTATTTTTTTTACGATTTTTAGTATTTTTTCGATTTTTATTATTTTTTATGATTTCATTATTAATTAAAACATTTCACAAGCTACACGGATATATTTGTCCAAACACACGTAAATAATGCTATTAAAGTAACTTAAAAAAATGTAGTCCATTTTGCATCGTTCGCACGTCTCCGCAGTCCGCAAGCAGAGCTTATCTTTGTTCCATCGTTCTTCACTTTCAAAGGTGAGTTTCTCAGAATCCCAGCTTTCATATCTAACTATCAAATACTAAATTCGTCTAAATTCATTTTGTCGTCTTTTTATCATACTACGCTTGAATGTGAGACTGTGAGAGCATCTGCAGATTCCGTTTATTTTTCTTAATTTTACTTAAACTTTTCTACGGATTAGGATGCTCAGTGGATTATGGAGAGATTCGCCTCAAAGGTTTAGGGGAAGGGGTTTACACATTTTAGTCACCTTTGGGTCTTGATTTTCATTTTTCAGATTACCATCATGTACACCTGGCTTGTGGATTGCTAGAGAGTACCCCCGAGAAAATGTTTGTTATGGAATCTATCTATATAAACTCAGCATAATCCGATACATGTTATGGAATCTTTTTTAGTTTTGTCTCCAATGTATTGCTCAATTACTTATGCTATGGATCCGAAAAGTTGATGAACCAGCCCTGCTAGTGTTAAAATATATTACTACGTATATATGTAATATAGGAAGCATAGATATATGAAATATGAGGAGCTCTTCACTAAAAAAGAACAAGATCCTACGTTTTCTGTCTACATCGAGTTGGTCTTGTGCAATTTGAAATTTATCCAACCATATTGTTTGGCTCAAGTTATATTGAAGAATATACAAGTTGACGGTCATGTGAGGAAGATCAAGAGGTCAAGTGTATTAATGCTAATTCATTGGAATATTTCAAGGGAATTGTAAGATTTATACACAAAGATTGATTGGGTTATCACATTTGTCATACCTGCAGACATAGGAGACGAGTCTTCCACCCAACTGCATGACCAAACCTTGTGTTCTTTAATCCTATTTGTGCTAATTTATGGAGTTTGTTAATGAAATTTTAAGATTCCAGACTTAGTACACAAAGATAGAATTGGGTTATCGCGTATCAAAAGTTGCCATGCCTGCAGTCATAGGAGAAGAGTCTTTCACCCTACTGCATGACCAAACCTTTTGTTCTTTACTCCTATCAGTTACTTATTTATCCCAGCATCCCAGGTTTTATATTGGGTTGGGACCACATATTGAACCGCATTAACTGAACACTGATTCGTAAATTTGATCACATGCATTGCTACAAACTGAAGATAAGATACTATTACGAGTATTACCTGAAATAACACCAAAGTCCAAAACATAGGAGAGTTAGTCATAGACTCATAGTTAGCACTTGAATGTTTTTTGTTCCTGATATAGGGCCTATTTATTGCTAAATAAAGAATCGTCAAAATGTCAAATTAATAACTTTTTAATTGTCTTGAATCTGGCTTACCCCTAACCCTAATGTTTTCTCCCCACTAACTTTTGCATTCTCTCAACACATGACACCTGGCCAGACCTGTCGAGGTTTTTAACGGTAATTTGAATCAATGTAAACATGTCACAGGGTGAGATTCATGAGAGAGTCTCATGTGAAGTCTTCTCTTTGTCATTTATGGTTTACATTTTCTTAGTTGTAATTCTCTTGTCTAATTTCTCACGTGGCGATATTAATCTTTCATTTGAAGTAAAAGGAATTCATAGCCATGGGGAAAGATGCCAAGACCAAGGATAGTAAAGGAAAGGGTAAACAGACTGCCAGTGGAAGTGATGCCACTGCTTCTAAGGTTAAGGGAAAAGGTGGCAAAGGAGATGGCCTTGGAACCTGTACACATGTCAAAGGTATGTGATATTACGTTCTGCAAAAAAATGTTATATTAGATATTGATGGGTTTTAACTATTTAATGACAACTATCAAATACCTGCTTGGCAGAGTATAAAACACTTTTTAGTTTTTTAGGGCCAAACTTTCTCAATTATATCAAGGAGTATAATTGATTCATCATCATCCAAATCCATTAATTTTATAGTTATTAGTTATTACAGTTAGGCACAGTAATGGTGCACAAGAATGATTTAATTTCTTCTTCCAGCTAGGCATATCCTATGTGAAAAGCAGGGTAAGATTAATGAAGCATACAAGAAGCTACAAGATGGGTGGCTGGACGATGGAAATAAGGTTCCACCAGCTGAGTTTGCTAAGGTTAGTGATTGACATTTATCTTTCGCACTGGCATTTAAATGCTGTCGATTATTGTTTGATTTCTTCAAGAACTTCACCTCATGTTTCATTTTTGTATGAAATGTTTATTTTATATTTTCTCCTTTTGTTTCTTTTCTTTTCGGTAATGTAACTTTAATAGAGCTCTTTCAGGCGGACATAGCACTCGGGATCTTCAAGTAGAAGCTAAACTAAGATGAAACTTCAAGTCTTGAATTACTTAATTACTTAGTGATATCTGACCTTTAATTGCTAACGGGTCTCACAAATATCCAAACGCTCATTTCTTCGGTAATTGTTCACAAAAAATTAGGTCAAGTTACATCTCATAAAGTACTAAACTAGCTTGTAATCTATTTATAGATAAGATTTATATGTCCACTAAAGTTGATCAAATTCTCTAAAGAGGTACTGGCTCAATACAAAAAATAATGTTACAGTATGAAAAGATAAGTTCAAGCTTTGGTACCAAATTGACTAATTGAAAATCGTGTCCATTTTATAATACCAATTTTGTTAAAACCATCCTTTTCTTTCATTTTAATTCCTGAGCTCTTGTCAAGTTCGAAATTATTTGCAACAATCGCAGTTCATAGGACTTGCAATCTTAAATTCTAAGGCATTTCAGGAGTTCGTGATAGGAACCAACCTATTTGAGTATTAGACTATTATTAGATTGATAGGAACCAACCTATTTGAGTATTAGACTATTATTAGAATAATAATAATAATAATAATAATAATAATAATAATAATAATAATAATAATAATAATAATATGAGTAGTAAGGGTACATGAATATTGTAGTATAAATAGACGGGAAAAGGGAGTTAGTAGTAGGCTGTTTTAGACTTTGTCAATTGGGACTTGGAGATCGAGAGCTACTCTCTTTCTTGGGGGCTTCGGCTCATTGGGAGGCTACGGCCTTGGTTACCGATACTGTTCACCTTCTTCATCAATAAAGCTTTTTCTGTTTGTTTCTTGATATCTACCTGTTAAACTGTTCTGGATTCTTGGAGGTCTCTATCAATTGGTATCAGAGAATGTCGATTCACTGTTGATGTTTTGATGCGCGCAAAGATGGAAGCACGATGGGATAACTTGAAGAGGAATCATCAACGAACTATGGAGATATTGACAACTATGATCGTCAGATTGGATGCGAGAAAGCAAGATCGATCGGGAAGTAGATCACATGCCTCATCTGCATCGCATCGCACTTCGCACCATGTACACGCAAGAAATTCAGGTTCGGGAAAGAGTGGCAAAATCGCACGTCGAGCGAAGAGCCCTGGAATTCGTTCGTCAAAGACGCGCACCAGTTCGCAGAAGGAGTCGCAAAGTATTTCTTCTGGTTCGCTCGTCAAGTCGCAGAAAGAATCGCAAAAAGAGTCGCGAAATGATTCGCTTGGAACATTGGGGAAGCTCGCATCAAAAGTTGAGGGCGGAAAAGTGGAGAAAGAGAAGCAATCAACCCTAGAAAAGGAAAAGACCTCAATCTTGGAAAAGGAGAAGCCCAAGCTGCGGCAACTACGTCGTCAGCGAGGACGGTCGAGAACTGTGCGTCGCTGCAGAAATTCGAAAAGCAAAGCTTCGTCGCCTAATTCTTCTGGTCTTCTGGCTTCCACCCGAGCACATGTTCATACTTTACAGGTTTCTTCACTCACCGAATCTCACATCTCATCATCTCTTATACCTGCAGCTAAGGAAACAGACTTTGAAGAGGAGGTTAATCAACCTACGGGAATTTCAGCAGACAAAATGAGAGGTTCAGAAATACTTAAACAAGATATACTTGCTTATGATGATATGAACTATGCTAAGGTACTAAATTTTAAACCCTTGATTGATTTCGTTCCTGAACTTGGATGGGATGTTACAATGAAAGGGTTGAACAAGATCGATGGTTTCTTAGTTGGTGATGTTACCCCAATTAAGAACATTCAAGATAAATCGGGAATAGGATTTACTGTAATTGGAAAGATTTACACAAAGAGATTCTTGATGTCTGACCATGGAATCAGCCTTGCTATTTTCCAATTGGCTTTGATTAGTGGTGGAAATGTAAGGAAAATACCATCAATTATTATATTGATTCAAGAAGGAGGTGTAGGCTTGTTCAGACTAGAGGTCTTGACTGGGAAGTTAGAGTTCTATCTCTACATTTGGGCTGTATTCTTACAGATTTCCGATATCAATAAACTTTTGTTTCTGGAGTTTGATTTCAGTTTAATTCTTTGTCTTGTGAAGGATAGTTACCTATCATTGGTAGGCTTAGACTATCGGTTTGTTGATTCTGCTGTGGCAAATTCTTATTCCGTGACTAGAAGCCCATTTGCTCGGTCCATTGTACTCGTAAATGGCATTTACAAGGACTTTGTTAGCTCTTATCTTAACCCTTCCATCTTCCAGCATCAACAACAAAAATTGAATGTCTCTGGTCCTTTCAATATGCTGACCATTGGAAAAGCAGTTCTTCTTGAAGTTCAGTCAACAACTCGGGTATGGAAATCTGGCGCTGAGAACACGAGTTGCTATTTGTTGAACATCTACCCGGAACCACTGATGTTGACAACACTTTCCAATGATGAACTGGTAGATAGTTTTAACTATGCTGTTTTGAAAGGGAATCCAAATAGTTTGTCTTCTGGTTGGAGTTCATGGTCCTATTTTCGTGAAGGAGGGGATCTAGTGCTGTTTTTGCTAGAAGTGAGGATGAAGATTCAAGAAGGGAAACTCCTTGACCAACCTACAGTCATGTATTGGGAAGGAAGAGGAGCAAGGAAGAAGAAGCAGAAGATTGTGGCTGTTTCCTATCACCCACCTTGAGGGCAAGGTGGATGTTTAGGGAGGGAGTATTGATAGGAACCAACCTATTTGAGTATTAGACTATTATTAGAATAATAATAATAATAATAATAATAATAATAATAATAATAATATGAGTAGTAAGGGTACATGAATATTGTAGTATAAATAGACGGGAAAAGGGAGTTAGTAGTAGGCTGTTTTAGACTTTGTCAATTGGGACTTGGAGATCGAGAGCTACTCTCTTTCTTGGGGGCTTCGGCTCATTGGGAGGCTACGGCCTTGGTTACCGATACTGTTCACCTTCTTCATCAATAAAGCTTTTTCTGTTTGTTTCTTGATATCTACCTGTTAAACTGTTCTGGATTCTTGGAGGTCTCTATCAGTTCGGTGTGAAATTATTGTGTTTTTACCCTTAAAAACCGTTGTCCAAGCCTCTCTATGGCTCCATAGATTGTTTTGTGATGTCGAAAGGGATTTCAAGCTTAAACAGGAGTCAAAGCTCTTCTTAGGGATGTTGAAGATGAGATGTAATGTCAATGCATGACCATCAAAAAAGTTTGTCAATGGGTCCAGAGGTTACATGCTGTTGATATCATCACCATTGTTTTTTCAAGGCATCTGATAAACACTGCCACTGCATATGTATAATTAAACCTTGTATATAATTCTTGCATTCATATGTGGTTGGCTTATTGATGTACCTAGAAGTTTTCTTTTTCTTGTCAAGTCAGATGCTGTCTTGGTTAGTATATGCCTGGTATAGAGATATGGAAATTGATTAAGAAACAGTGAGAAAGAGGTTTCATATTGCTATTTTTATCTGTGATACAGGGTAGATTCTTCACAACTGCTGGAGTTGAACATTTTCCTTTCGTTGCTCTCAGTATAAAAGACTTGGATGTTGTTGTTGTTGTTGTTGTTGTTGTTGCTCTCAATATAAAAGACCTCATTATCTTATATTGATCATAATATCAATTCTTCATTTTCTTGGCTTGATATAACTGTGATAGGTTGTATGACCGCCTCGTTATCTTACTATGGGATACTCATGACCTTTCTCAAGTTGTGTGTGCTCTTTCATACAGGTAGCTCAAGTATATTCAGAATGTCCATCAGGGAAGAAAGGTGGGGATCTTGGATGGTTTCCTCGTGGCAAAATGGCTGGCCCATTTCAGGATGTTGCCTTCAGTACTGCTGTTGGGTGTACCAGTGAACCATTCAAATCGACGTAAGAATTCTGGCATTTTTTGTTTCTTCCAAAGTCATTGAAGTTCTTTTACTTCTTATATATATATATTCTTCAACTTTCTTCAAATTTCAGACATGGGTACCATATTATTCTTTGTGAGGGGAGGAAGAATTGATAGGATTGACCTTCAAATCAAGTTGTATGTGGAAGCTATGGAAATCAAGAAACCAAGTGTGTTCAGTTATCTACTTATCACCTACTTTGCTGAATGATGCTTTCATACTAATAAGTACAGTCTAATCAATCTCTTTCATTGGAAATGCTTTCGCAAGGTTGCGGGGAATGAATGACATTTATGAATTGTCCAGCCGATTCATTGTCTTTTCATATTCATGTTTTTGCACAATTAGTCAGTCCTCCTATCAGTTTTTACTGCTTAGATTATGTCCTTTGCATGATCCTTGTTCCATTATAGTGGGTTGATTCTATAAATTAGAATGTGAAAATTTTATTCCATCTGCTTCACTGGGACTACATGAGCGTTACAATATGAAATATGTATCAAATATGTACGTTAATACTTTTACTCTAAATTAGTGTAGAAATCATTTTTGGGTGAGTGCTTTGCGTTAAACTTGAGTGACAGGAAGACTGCCGCTAATATATATATTTTTTAACCCGGAAGGCAACCACAAAATCAGTGGGGCAAATGCCGGGGAACATTTTCCGTTATTTTATTAACTAAGAGATAAGTACAAAAATGGAGGGGGATCAAACCAAAATCTCCTCTCAAAGGCATTCCTCTGAAAAATACATGAAAAAACTAAAAAAAAAATTACATCTGAGAGGGGATTAGACCAAAATCTCTCAGAAAAGAAAAAACAGCAATAGAAAAGAAAATTAATATCTAAAATAAGGATAGCCAAAAAGATCTGCCAGATACTCCCTCCGTCCCAAAATTATCTTCATAGTTACTATTCACATGGTCAACTCAAATTATTCTTAATCTTTTACTTTATATATCAAATTTTTATCAAACTTAAATTTTCTTGATCAGGCTTTGTAGCGGTTTTAATGTAGTTTCTGAATATGTAAATTTTATTTACTAAAAATATTCCAAGTGTGAACAGGGATCGAGTTTCTTTATCGTCAGTCAAGCATCGTAAACCGAACTATGAAGATAAATATGGGACGGAGGTAGTAATATTTATGGGCCAAACCCGGAAGTGAATCCATTGTTTGAAAATAGTTAATCTGGTCCGTCACAAATTCCCGGCCTGCCAGAATATGGGCTGTCCAATTTCCTTCACGCATAGTATGCCAGAATATGGGCTGTCCAATTTCCTTCACGCATAGTATACCCATTCGACTGCCACTAATTTACGTGTGGTTGGCTCTTTACCTTATTCCATACGTGGTGTGCGGGTGTATCCCTTGCATTCGTTCTGGACAAAATTTATATGTAACACACAGAGGAATGTTCACCATTGATGACAACTTTTGTTGCCTAGGACATGTAGGTCATCATTAGGGGTGGGTTCGGTTCTTGCGGTTCGGTTTTGACCTAAAACCAAATATAAACTCAAAGTAAAAAGTTCGGTTCGGTTTCGGTTCGGTTTTACACTTTAAAACTTGGAACTACGGTTTGATTGGTTCGGTTTCGGGTTTTTCGGGTTTTTACCAAAAAAAATCTCAGTTGATTTAAAATTGATATAATACTTAGAGGGATCAAACATATTACATAAAGAATGTAAGCACAATACAACAACAAATAAAATAAAAATGAGAAGAGATAAATATGTCTTGAATTATATGAGTATGCGAGATAGATAAAACTATATATATTATTGATTTAATTTGTTTGTGAGTAGTTAGAAAAAAGTTCATGAATATATATGTTCTATGTGATATAGTTGAGATGAATATTTATTGTTTTGTCAATATAAAATCTTTAAGTTATCTAAAAATAAAAGTTAATTACTACTAATAACTAGTAAACACATATTATCATCATTCAATATAGCTACATTATTACAGACAAATGAATGTGTAAATGAATTTATAAACTAAATTAAATTAAACATAACACAAACATTATTTCTCTAACACAAGAAAACCAAAGACTATTGATGATATTAAGATTGATTAGAATTAATGCTTAACAATTAACATATAATTTTTCATATTTTAAATAGTTCAATTTGTTCGGTTTGGTTCGGTTAATATTAGTGAGTAACAGATATTTGCATAAAAGGGAGTAAAGGAGATAATTTACTCTAATGGACAATTTTAAATAGTTCGGTGTGATTAACAATTAACAGATAATTTACTCTAATGGAGTAAAGGGTCACTTTAGTCCTCGAAGTTGCATAAAAGAGGTCAAATAAGTCCTTATATAGGAGATTAGGAGGTTCTATCCGGCCGTCGCCATTTGGGGCGGTTCCCGGTGGAATGTTTTGATAAAAAAAAATTGAGCATCTTATTCATTAAGTCTAGTTCACTCATACCAAATTTCAGATAAAAATTCAACCGGGAAGACATTCAAATGAATTCTTGAAGATAACTGTGCAGTTATCTTCAAGAATTCATTTAAATGCCTTCCCGATTGAATTTTTAGCTGAAATTTGGTATGAGTAAACTAGACTTAATGAATAAGATGTTCAAAAAATGTTATAAAAAAACTCCACCGGGAACCGCCTCAAATGACACGTCCGAGCATAATCTTCTATATAAGGACTTATGTGACCCCTTTTATGCAACTCCGAGGACCAAACTGGCTCTTTACTCATTTATAATGTGAATCTTGGACAAATTTTAAGGGAATACTCTCAAAAAACTCACTAATCTAACATTTTAGTGGTTAATATTAATTCAAAAAAAATTGAAGCTATAATAAATATGATTAGAAAACTCATCATATTTACTCCACAACCATTCTTTGCAAAGAAGATTTTTTATATTTTTTTGTCTTGTGTATTTTTAATCATCAGTTGCGACAATAAAAATGTGAACATGCATGCATCCCCATTTAAGAAGATTTTATGCTACGCAATTTGAAAGCTCCTTGTTGTTACTGTATTTTCTTCCCTACATTAAAACCAATCAAAATATTCATTTGAATTGCATAAAATTACTTTTTTATCATGAAATATGCATTTTAGGCATTTCACTTCACCGTCATCATGGGAACAACACGAGCCTTAAAACCCAATCTGTATCTGAGCCTGTGAGGAGTAACATCCTTTAGAAAAAGATGAATTGCATGCATCTTTACGAAATCAAAGGCACAAAATATCATTTGGAAAAAAAAAACTGATTTGCCAAATAAACAAATCATAAAGCAACATTGCAAGAAATAGAAAGCTTAAACACAATCTGCGTTGATGCATCATACTCCATTAATCACATTTTAGCTTAAGTTTTAGGTTAAGTTTCCAATTAGAAAAACGATACCGAGCTACCTATACTAACTTAGCTTCACCTCCCACTCCATGAGTTTGAATCCAAGCTTCTCATTCACGTGGATATGCCATTTACTCAAATGAATAATTGTAATGTTTGCTTTCTTTCAAAGTTTATATTGGGTCATTTATATACCACAATAGTGATATTTTGCTAAATTCAATGCCACTTTGTAGTTTTTAAATTGAGCCAAATTGATAGTTATCAACTTTTGACTCTAGGAACATAATCTTTTTGTGCACATATACTATATACTCCGTATATGTTGATTTTTTTAATTAAGAAATACAATTTTTTTTGTAAAAGTTTTTCTCTTTGGGACGTCTCCTAACGGTTCCAAATTCTTCAGGTCTCACTTAAATGGAGGGGTAATTACCCCAGGAGTAAAACAATGCATTTGTGCACAAATAGGAGTCCAAGTTTCGTCTATCACTTATAGGAGTAAAAAAGACTTGGATGGACCAAAATAACCTTAATGAAGCTGAACACGTTAATGCGGACTAATGTATATACCTTTTAAACCCTTAATGAAGTTCAACATTAATTACAGTTAAAAAATAGAAAAAAAACTCAACAAAATCCCATCCTCCTGCCGTTCCTATGTGCAGCAACCACCCAACCAATCTGCCGCCGCCGTTCGGCGAGTCTGCCGCCGTTCGGCGAGTCTGCCACCGCCGTCCGGCGATTCAACCGCCGCAAGCACTTGGGGAGTCCACTTCTACTAGCCTTGAAGTTGCCGCCACCGTGCTTCAACGAAGTCTTAGGCTACTCTTAGCCAAGCTTTCATCTAGTGCTGTTATCTCCTCCGACAACCTCCTCCAGCAAGATTGTTCTAGATGCAAAAAGACACTTTATTGATTGATGTCATGTAAAAATAATTATGGCACTTTGTGTAAAAATATGGCATTCGAAGTCTGAAAGTATCGCACTTTATGTTTTAGATCTCAGTAAAAAAATACTCAGTATGTTTTAGATCTTGAACATTGAGATACGAACATACCAGGCTTCAATGCTTATTTTTTTTTTTTTTTTGCGAAAGAAGAAGCGATATTATTGATAGAATAACTCAGAGTTACAATCTGCTTTGAGCAAGAGAGAAATTTGAGTTGGCTCATCAAGAATCATAAACCCCCTCATCCAAAACCTTAGCTAAATGAGCTAATTCATGTGCAACCCGGTTCCCCTCCCTTTTCACAAAGTTAAAACTAGCTTCTGGGAAAGAAAGAGTCAGCTCCTTGACTTCCTGCAGCAGCAAACCAAGCCTGGAAGCATCCATCCTTGGCTAGACAGGTTGGAAAAGATTGTCACACAGTCCCCCTCAATAATCAATGGCATGTTTATCCAGGTCTTAGCTATCCGAACACCTTCCACACAAGCTATAACTTCTGCCTCCATTGCATTAGAACACAACAGAAGTCTTCTCCAAGCTGAAACGAGAACTTCGCCCCTACAATTGCGAATAATGCACCCCATCGTAGCTTCTTCAGTCGCCACGTCAAAGCCGGCATCCGTGTTGAGCTTTGCCCAACCAGGAGGCGGCGGGGTCCACTTAGGAAGCATATGAATCGGCCTCGGCGCTTGGGTCCTCACAGAATCACGTCCACCCTTGCTCGAGTTAGAAGCAACCTGCAATTGTTCCAAGGAGTCCATGTAAGAAACCAGATAGCGGGCATTTTCCGCAATTGAGGCCTTGCCTTTGCTATGAATAGTGTCGTTCCGCAAATGCCATGCTCTCCAGAACATCATCAGGACACGTGCTCGCATCACCTTATCAATCCCCAGTAGAAGGTTTAGAAACCATTCCGGTCCAGATCTTCTAAACTTCTTTTCCCCAGGCAACTGCCAAAAGGCCCTTAATTTATTCTGGAGAGCCTTGGCTTTCGTACACTCCACAACAGCGTGAAAACCATCCTCATCATTGTGACCACATATTGAGCATGTAGCCGACAATATAATTTTCCTGCGTAACCGATTCAACTGAGTTGCAAGAGCTTCCCGGGCTAAACGCCACCCAAAAATACGTATCTTCTGGGGTACTTTGGTGTCCCACACTACTTTCCAAATGCTCCGTTCCCCGTTGCTTGCCCCGCTACTTTGCCCTGTACTTTGTGCCTTAAGCCGGTCTGATATAGCAAGAAGGTATGCACTCTTGACAGTAAAAATGCCTCTTTTGTCATAGTGCCAGGCCAAGAAATCCGCCCTGCTAGAAGATGGCAGCTTAATCTTCAAAATTGCATCAGCATCCCAAGGCCAGAATTTGTCCCGGATGAGGCGCTCATTCCAACACCCCTCGCCCCAGTTAATGAGATCACTCACTTTCCTACATCGAGTGAAATCCCTCTTCCCATTGATTTTTAGAGCATTATCTCGTGGGATCCAGTTATCACGCCATATATTCACAGCCGCTCCGGAGCCAATTCGCCAAATAATACCTTTTTTAAGGAGTTCGAGACCGTATAAAATGCCCTGCCAGGATGGTGACCCTCCACCTGGGAAAGCAGTGTCATAGAGCTGACCATTGGGATAATATTTTGCCTTAAGCAACCTTGCGCATAAGCTCTGAGGATGTTGTAAGAGTCGCCAAGCTTGCCTAGCCAGGAGGGCTTGGTTAAATGCTTTGAGATCACGAAAACCCATTCCTCCATAACTTTTAGGGACGGAAAGTTTATCCCAAGCAAGCCAATGGACCTTTCTGTCATTCTGCTCATCTCCCCACCAGAAATTGCGGATTAACCGCATAAGATCCTCACATAAGCCAGCTGAAAGTTTGAATATTCCCATAGAATAGACGGGAAGTGCCTGCATAACCGATTTGATTAATACCTCTTTGCCACCTGCAGATAAGTATTTCTCCGACCAGCTATTCAACCTCTTATTAAATTTATCCTTCAAGGGCTGGAACCTCTCATTTTTCATTCTTCCACTTGACGTAGGGAGCCCCAAATATTTCTCCTCAAAACTGGTTTCTTCAACTCCCAGAATGCGCTTAACCACCTCTTGATTCTCAGCACTACAAGACCTCTCAAACATTATAGAACACTTATTCAAACTTAGGAGTTGGCCCGTACACCGCTCATATGTCATCAAGGTATCTTTCACCACTTTGGCTTGGTCACTTGTAGCCTTCAAGGTATCTTTCCTTAATCTTATTTTATTCAGATCAGATCAGATCAGATCAGATCAGAAAGATTCAGATCAGATCAGATCAGATCAGATCAGATCAGAAAGATTCAGATCAGATCAGATCAGATCAGAAACATTCAGATCAGATCAGAAAGATTCAGATCAGATCAGCAACATTCAGATCAGATCAGAAAGATTCAGACCAGATCAGAACAGATCAGAAACATTCAGATCAGATCAGAAACATTCAGATCAGATCAGATCAGATCAAAAAATTCAAACATGATTTATCACTTTTATTAATATATTAATTATGATTATTATATTATAATTATTGTTAATAATATTAATATATTAATATAATAATATTATTAATAATATAATAATAATAATGTTAATAATATAAAATTATTATAATATAATATAATATAATATAATATAATATAATATAATATAATATAATATAATATAATATAATATAATATAATATAATATAATATAATATAATATAATATAATATAATATAATATAATATAATATAATATAATATAATATAATATAATATAATATAATATAATATAATATAATATAATATAATATAATATAATATAATATAATATAATATAATATAATATAATATAATATAATATAATATAATATAATATAATATAATATAATATAATATAATATAATATAATATAATATAATATAATATTGTATAATATAATATATTTATAATTATAATTATAATTATGATTTACAATGTAATTATAATTATAATCATCATTATTATTAATATGATTGTTGTTCTTGTTGTTATTGTTGTAATTATTATTACTTCGGAGTAATTATATATTTAAATTAGTAATTAAAGATATAATTATGATTATAGAAATAAATATTATAATTATAATTACAATAATAATTATAAAATTAATCATAATTAAAAATATAATTACATTTATAATTGTATCTGTACTTATAATTAGTGTAATTAGTATAATTATTATAATTTTAAATTTAATTTTAATTATTATTTTTTTATAATTATGATTATAATTGTAATTTTATTTAAGTTATATTTTGAATTACAATTATAAATCTAATAATTATAATTATAATTACAATTATAGAAATATTCAAATCAGATCAGAAAGATTCAGATCAGAAGAATTCAGATCAGATCAGAAACTTTCAGATCAGATCAGAAACATTCAGATCAGATCAGCAACATTCAGATCAGTTCAGCAACATTCAGATCAGATCAGAAAGATTCAGATCAGATCAGAAAGATTCAGATCAGATCAGAAAGATTCAGATCAGATCAGATCAGAAAGATTCAGATCAGATCAGATCAGATCAGAAAAATTCAGATCAGATCAGATCAGAACTTAAAAAATTCAGATCAGAAACATTCAGATCAGGTGAACGGAACAGCTTCTTATTCACCAAGTCCTCCAAGTCCTCCTTTCTGTCCAACCAGTTCCCGTCCCCGCCTCTTAGTCTTTGGATCCTATTCTTTTTGGACCGCCATGCAGCTTTTTGGTGGAAAAATTTTGTATTCCTATCCCCTTCTCGCAACCACGAGATACGTGATCTTTGGAACCACATCATCTCCTCCTTATAGAGCAGTTCATCCATTACCCGTTTCAACTTCAAGCTCTCCTCCATAGCGGCCTCTGAATGATCATTGAGAAGGCCTTCCAGACGTATTCTCCGTTTCTCAAGTTCTTCAGTAACGTTCCCGATGCGTTTACGACCCCAAACATGAAGAGAGCCCATCAAAGACTTGAGGTTACCTACCAGGTCCCCCAGACTTTCCACTGGCCGAGCTCTCTCCCATGATTCCTTAACCTCTTGGGATAAGTCCTCCTCCCTTTCCCAGAAAAGCTCATATATTTTAATTTTACTCCCCAACCTTCTCAAGAAGACCGGCTGCACCTCCAGGAGCAAGGGACAGTGATCCGACCTTGAAGATACAAGATGTCGGACTTGCGCTTCCGGGAACAAATTCATCCAGGCCGGGTTAGCAACTCCCCTATCCAGCCGGACTTTCACGCTACGTTCGCCCTTTTGTTTATTATCATAAGTCCAGGGTAACCCACGAAAGCCAATATCATAGAGGTCACATTCAGATAAAACTTCTCTAAAATCCATCATCTGCCTCTCTGAACGTTTAGAGCATGAGTAATGTTCACCTTGCCACATAGCTTCGTTGTAGATGCAAAATGCCAAGTTAAATGCCATGTTTTTCTATTGAAATTGTACTTCTCTTCATTCGAACATTGTAAAATGCCATTTTTTTATTGACAAATGCCATGTTAATTTTTAAAGATGATGGCAAATAATTGTTGCAAAAAAATAAGATAATGGAAAATGATGTTATTTTATGGCACTAATTACATCAAGTTCGCATTCACAAAACATGGAACTAAAATTAATTTTGTCATTTTCATAAAATTAGTGCCATAAAATGACATTCTCATATGAAAACATGGTACTTTAATTACTGCATTTCAAAGGAGGTGGAAACATTGTCATCTTCAGAAATAAAATGTCATAAGAATATAATGGCATTAGTTTTTCAAAAGAAAATTTCAGTTTGAAAATAATGAAAAATATAAATGAATCGGAAATAATTAAAAAGTTTGTGTTTAAAAATTTCAAATCACCAATGATTCAAGCCTAACATTTTTCAGATCTAAAACTTTTCAGATCTAAAAAGTTGTGCTCTCATAAGAAAAGAAACATGAAATTATTAATCAATTGATGTTTGAGCTTCACATTTACGAGAAGAAAAACAGTAGGAGAAGGAGAAAAGAAGAAAGAAAGGAGGAGAAGAGAAAAGAAGAAAGAAAGAAGGAGAAGGATCAGACACATACCTGGAGCTATTATTGAATCTTCTCACGGGTGAAAAGAAAAGAGGAAAAACGAAGGAAGAAGGGGAAGGGTCCGGAGCCGCCGCCGTACTTTGTCTTCTCCGCTACGCCTAATCCTTAGGGTTCTTGCTAGCACCTCCCCTGTTGTTCTGTCACAGAGCAAATCCATCGATGGAGGCGTTGGGCTTTGTGATAAGGATACATTAAAGAAGGGTAAATAAGTCCATACATGTCAAAAGACTCCTATTTAGGAATAAAAAAAGAGGTGCTCTTATTTAAGTGTCATGTTTTGCTCCTACTTGAGACCATTTCTCTTAAATGGAACAAGAGCATGATAAATTTTGTTCACAACCGTTACTAATTATTTGTAATAATCAGGTTCTAATTCGGGATAATTCAAAAGCTCAATCGTCTTAGATCGTATCTACTCTACTTGAATTATGTTGAATGCATTGATGCAGCCAGTGGAGGACCTAAGGGCCAAGTGCATCGATTTCTTGCTAGATAGTAAAATATTAGCTCTTAGATGTATAAATGGTTAACTTGGATGGTGTAAAAGGCGTTGAGAAGATAATTGTTGTGATGAAGAAGAAAACTAAAAACCCAATCCCCGAACACCACCACATTGATATCGTGTTTTTTGAAGAAAAAAAAAGCATTGTCATTTTCAATGAATCTTTTAAGGAAAATTCTATGGCACATCACTAATAGAATGTACCGGTACAATCCCTTTCCCTTTTAAACCAATCAAATAATAGCACACTGCCGCGATCTCCGCGCTTTGTGAGGACTAAACGGCAAAATATACATAGAATTTCGTATATTGAGATGATTAGGGCTTTATGTTGTTGTTTCATCATTTTTTATATGCAATTGAAGTTGGGTTCAACGTCAATATATGTTTCTCCATACACAGACACGAAGTCTTATATCGATGTCTGTGTCTCGCATATAGCTCATATGTTTGGCATGTGTTTGTGCATGTGTTGAGACCATGTTGTCTTATGTTGTAGGTAGCTCATATATATGTTTGTTTCCTATAACTTTATAATGTATATATAAGTTTGAGTAGTGCATGTAGTGTGCAATATGTTTGTGTTCTTTATGACTTGGATAGGTGTTTAGTGTATGAAAGGCATGCCTATGTATGTACAAAGAAGTTTACATGTTTGTTTGTACGTGTAGTGTTCGAATTGTTTGTGTGATGTTTGAATTGTCTGTGTACATACTAGTGTTTGTATCTACACATGAATCTATTGTTTAGTCTTTTAAAGACATGAATATTGTAGCATAACAAATGGAAAATGACAACAAAATGAGAGTGAAGTTGGTTCCATAAGAGCTACGGAAGTTTGTGAGGAGTTTGATAGCAAAGAAGTGGTGTATAATTTTTATAAGACATATGAGAAACGTTTAGGATTTACTAAAAGAACTAGGACTACAATGAAAGACAAAATTTAAAAAAAGAATAAATATAGTGGATTAGTTCTAGAGTGCCCGCAACAACATGTTTAGTTATTCCATGATATAAAAAATGCTCTTTGTACACACCCAATGTATTGTACACACCGGTACACCGTGTATATACCCCCAAAAATTACAACATTTGCCCTTCAGCTGAAAAAAACATGTGTCACCACTTCAACACTCCCTCCCATTTCTAAAAAAACTCCCGCCTCCACCCAATTTCAACACCCCCGATTCGTTCTCCTCTTTTCCTACATCCCCACGGCTCCCTCCACTCAGTTTTTCAACTGCCAGTCCGAAATTAAATACATTCAACCTCTTCATCTCCTTCATCTGTTTGTAAGCAAAGTCCATCCAACTGAAGATGACGGCGGTGAACCGACCTTGGGTGAGTAGTTGCATTGAAGAACGACCGGACATTGTGTGAATTGGACTTATACCTACGGCCAAAGGTATGTATCCTTTGAATTTTGCATACATTAACATTTTGAATGTTATTTGGACTGTTAAGCAAGATGTCGTAATTGATGAAACTTTTCATCCCAACTAGGGTTTGTATACACTACACCAACTAAAGTCATCTATAGCGGCTGAAAAACGCTATCGTATCATTTAATAGCGTTTTAATAAACGATGTGTCAGAACATGCTATGATAGATGTACAGCTTGATATAGCATTTTTGAAACGCTATAAAACATAAACCAACAATAGCATTTTTTAAACGCTATCTATAATATACGTATCATAGTGAACATATAAATTACATAACACTTTTCAAAACGCTATCCCATAAAGTATCGATCATAGCGTTTATCCATAACTACTCAACTTTCTAATAGTGTCAATCATAACACTCCAACCATGTTCACATTTATGAAATTGCAAAACTAAGCTTCCAATAACAAAGACTCTTTACATATGTCAATTGATACAAAACAAATTAGTAGCATACGGATAATTCAATATCTCAGTGTACAGTAAACTAGTTACATACAGAGTGCTATCTAAAAAAGAAAAAACAGGGTAACTTCATTAAATTACATAAGGCCTAGCTAGGAGATTGATAATCTTCAATTTTTTATACCTGCAAAAAGAACAAAAAACACCAATAATTAGACTTGTAGGTTAAACATGCCGAAAAAAATTATTTGTAGCTATATATAAACGCAAGTGTGAGAAATATAACTGATAATGAAATAAAACCATGTAATAAGACAATATAATGCTAACACCATTAAAATCATCATATTATTACGTAGTATTATGTATTATTTGGTCAACATTAAACTTCCATCATAATAATAATAAAATGTTGGTTTTGACAGGCAGCATTAGGGTCTTGGTGAATGAGTAGAATAGTAGAATACCATTCCATAAGTGATAAGTTAAGCAAGAGCAGTTTCTCAGTTAGGTTTTCCACTGCCCCTTCCTCTTCATTCTCCCTCTTCTTCCTAATTGGATCCCCCACAGACCTGTCCTCAGTGATTCAAAAACAAACAAACATTATTGAATTAAAAAACTAAGCAACTCCAGGATGCAACTTCATAATACATTGTAGAGCAAACGGTTAATCTACTACCTGATATCAGTACACATAATGCATACATCCACAAATACATAAAAACACTAATCAAATTGAGATTTTTTGTTAGAGAGAATGAGTACTCACATATAACTCTGAACATAGAAACCGGTTTCAATAGAACATTGTGAGAGAGTGGCAGAAAACTTGTCCCCTTCGGATTGGAGCGTGACGTTTGCGTACGCAATATACTGGAATCCACCAAGCCATTCACCTCGCTCACCATCCAAGAACATATGTACGGTCGTGCTCCCATCATACTCATAGCCATTTCACACAAATTTCAACATTGGTTCCAATATTAGAGTGAAATATTTTATTCAAAAAATAAATAACGTAATGAGAGAAACATGGAAGACAAATAGTACTACATATAAAGATCAACACAAATGTAAACATTTCCAAATCACATTATAATGTCTGGAGACCTGCTTCTTTTTGTTCATGACATGAAAACTGAATAACTCGTCCTTTACTAAAATTTACAATGAAAAAACTTACACTCCATCAAAATAAAATAATAAGCACTGATAATGCAAACCCAAGATAAAGAAACTCATTAAATGAGGAATTGGCTGAATGGTCATAAAGTGAGAAGATTGGCCTTAAAGAAAACTCAAATATACAGAGCATTTGTTAGTTGATTTTTCTCAATTGAATAGCAAGTTTCTGAGTCCATAAGAAAAAATTAGTGGGCAACTTTTCAGGAATGGAGGCAGACAGATAAAAGACAAAGGATAAGATAAAATTTGTGTTAATATTCCAGATTACGAACATCTTATCGTTCTACAATTTTTAAATTTAGCAAATATACATCCAAACTAAATTAAGCGGAGCAGATTTGAAATTCTCGAAAAAAGAGCATCATCCACATGCTTCAAAATCAATTTCAACACAGGGAAAAACTTCTTAGTTCCTCTTTAAGAAAATAATTACAGATAATAGGTGTAGGTTTTAGAATATGCCACATCCTACATAGAAATTTTATTTATACAAAGCAAACGTCACGAAAAACTGAAATACACATAAAACCTTCTAAATGTGCTGAAAAAAGTGTTAATACGATGTTAATGAAGGAAAAACTTTAGTACACATAAAGCTCACCTGAATCTCTGAATGTGCTCGCAAACCAGAAGATTTGTGACTATTGAAATAAAGTATAGAAGAAAAAACGATCTGAAATTAGAGAAGAGAGATATATAATTAGATATAAACGAATCTTACAACAAACGATTGATACGTTTAGTAATAGGGATGAGTCCTCGCAAGTCGCAATAGCCAGCTGAGTGGAGAATTCGGATCTGCGTGATGGCGGTGAATCGGCTATGGCGGCAACAAGAAAGCCGAGAGAGAAGATAGTGAAAATATAGGGTGCGGGTCTGATTTTTCTTTCTAACCTAAAAGCCCGCTTCATTTAATATACCCGCCTAGTGTGTGTTTTACTCCGTATTTCCCTGCTATATCATTAGCAATAGCGTTTACATGATTTGCTTGAGCTATTACAAACAAAGAGTAGCTCAATTATAACACTTTCTATAGAAACGCTATGCTTCTATGCTATAAAAAAGCAATATTGTTGTAGTGATAGTGAGATAAATTTCCTCATTACTCCACTGTTTAGTCGTGTTAATAGGTTGTTCATCTAAAGTTTGTCTTCATGGATTTGTTGTGGGTAATGGGGGGGAACCAGTGATTTGATTTAACATTAAATGAGGAATCAAATTAAAATGTTCAGTTCAGTTTGTGTTTGAAAACATGAAATTGTTGTTTAATTGATTCATTTTTGTTTAGTTTGATTTCAACTTTTTTATTTTTACACAAAAATATTGTCATTTGATTGAAAATGGATGCAATAGTTGACGGAAAAAAGAAACCTTTAACAAAAAAAACAAAAATAGAAGGAATGAAAACCCTTTTTTTAAGGTGTCAAATTTATTAGAAAGAAGAGTGGAGATTACAAAGGAGTTGGGGCACAATTCAAGCCCAATCAAAACAAAATTGGAGACATAAAAAAGGTAATCCCGAGTGTTGGCCTTATGGGGATCAACACAAACCTTTGATTCATGGTCTAGTCTTTGATTAGGTCGCCTTCTGGCACCATCTTCGTTCCGCTAAGATTGTCTCATCTTTCTTTTTCGATTCGTCCTATTAAGATTGTCTTATACCAAATTTGGTAAAATTTGTGTGGTTCTAAATCATTTTTACTTTATTCTTAATCAATTTTAGAACAACCACATAAAATACATACACAAAAAATCTAAAAAATATACATAAAAAATTAATAGATCAATATATAATTTTATTGTTGTTGTAGAGAATGAAAGTTCAAGTGAACTTTGAAGCTGAATTAAAGCACATTTATAACATTATAACACCTTAGATAAGAAATTTGTAATAAGTACTTTGTATAACATAAACATTTATCTTCTAGCACTATAAAATTGAACAGAAACAATGATATTAAGGGGCCGTTTGGAGCCCTAGAAATGGGCTGAAAAGCCTGAAAATGCAAAAATGTAGCCAAACAGATGCCAAATGGGCTATTTGGGTTGTTTTTTCTTATCAGCCAAAAACGTTAACATAAGAGTTACTTTTTGAGCTGAAAGTTATTAATGATCGTTGCGATGTTGCCCACCTAAAATACTTCGTTGATCGACGACGACGAGAAGCTCTTCCACGTTTGCACCATAGTTTTGTCCTTGCAATCGACGACTTCCTGCTCGTGTGACTGTGCCATAGTTTCGGCCTTCTAGATCGATGAATTCTTGTTTGGATTCTCCATATTCATCTAAAGGTACGCTAAGTTGGCCTCAATCATCTTCTTCTTCAATTGTGTGTTGCCCTCTATTCTTGCTCGACTGTGTTTTAGAAAGAGTGTTGCTGGGTAGATGTTCTTAGTTGGAATCATGCAAGCACCTATTTTCTAATATATTTTTGTTAAAATCTGGGGTTCCATCCTAAAAGATCAACCTTATAGGAGGAGTAATCCAGATTATAATATAGCATATGTTAAGATTTGGGGTTCCATCCAAAAAGGTCAGCCTGATAGGAGTAATGAGTAATCTAGATCTTAATATAGCATTTAATTCCTTCACAAGTATCCGGTGTGGAAATTCCCCCTCCTCACAACCAGACACTTCGTCTGGATTGTGCCGTCGTCATTTTTTCCATCGATTCGTTATTGTCAGTTTTTATAATCGTGTCATCATTTTTCATAAGGGGGCCCACACCATGGATCGATTTCGCTCTACTATCATGTTAAGTATCCGGTATGGGAATTCCACAGATCCCCTTGAGCAAAGTGCATATATAATCATGAAATTTTCATATTGTGAAACTGTGATGGAAAATGGAAGGTTTTTGTGGAGTTTACAACCTAAATTTTGAAAGAATTGATTTTTCTATATAATCGTTTTCAAAAAATTCAATACTAACCATTATGAAAATCTAAGCTGAATGAAAATAGGTGCTTGCATGTTTCCAGCTTCTATATTAATGGCGAAATGTAACTTTAGATTCCACAATCTGGAAATATTTTAATTGTGAGTAATTTATTGTGACTAAGATCTATTGTTTTATCTTGTAAAAAAAAGATCTATTGTTTTATATAGTAAACCTGAGTTATAAATGCTGATGTGTCATTCTTGGATTGGTTAACAAATATATTATTTAACAAATTAATCAATTAATACTACTGAAGAATTCAATTGCAACAACCATGAAACTTCCTTCATGTGCAAGCAACAATCATGAAGCTTCCTCTATGTGCAAGAATGACAAAGGGAGCTTCCTCAACCACCATTGAAGTTTCCTCATGTTTAATCCCACTTTCCTTCCACCTTCCTAGTACCTAGTTTTGGTGCTATAAATAGAGAGCTTGGAGAGTCTTTCTATCATCAAGTAAATTAGAATAAATCATCATAGCACAACCAAGTTTGAGTTGTGAATATCCTTGAGAGATATGTGAGGTGTTTTTGAGAGTTTTTAGTTAGAGCTTTTATGTCTCTTCTTTCTATTGTTGAAAGTAATAGAAGTGTTTTTCTCTCATATTAGCACGATCCTGTTATTCCCAACAAGTGGTATCAGAGCCTGGTTGAGCTTTTGATATTTTTCCTTGATTTTTTCAGACAAAATTCTACTGTCTGAAAAATCAAGTTTTTCAGTATTGCTCGGGATTGCAATCTGAATATACCGTTGGATTCGTCTCGTTGAGAAGAGAAAACTGGTATTTTTGGGGAATTTTTTGGCCACCTGAAGCTGCTGTACGCGCTGCCGAACTCCGACGAGGAGCTGCCTGCGTCACCACGCGCAGTACGCGCAGGTCAGAGGTAGAAGACGGCTGACGTCATTGCTGACGTTATCAGCCAGTCAGAGTTGCGTCAGCGCCACGAGTGCAGTCCCAGCACAGTCAGCCGCCACGTCACCAGTCCACTGCCATCTTCCACCAGAGCCCAATCAGCTGCTACGTCAGCGCCACATCACTGCCACGTCATCTGCCACGTCACCGGTCAGTTTATAATTTTGAAAATTTGCAGTTTGGTCCCTCAATTTTTGGAAAATTATAATTTCCACCTATAATTTTTCAAAAATTGTATTTTGACCCCGAAAGTGCCTACCCACCATTTTCGGCCGTTCCGGACGCAACGGTGCTGCCCGTTTTTTGAAATTCTGCTCTGATTTTTCTCAAACATTAAATCAAAATTATTTAGAAGGTGAAAATGACCTTTGATGAGTCAACTTCATCTTCCGGAGCTATGATTATGCTCACGGCTACCAACTATAGCTATGGAAACCTCGGATGGAAGATTTCCTTAGCTGTAAAGACCTTTTTGATCCAATAGAGATGAAAGGTATTAATCCTGACCCGGCTAAGTCAACGGAGTGGAAGAAAATTAATAGAAAAACTATTGGTCAAATCCGACAATGGATTGACCATAGTGTCTTCCACCATGTTGCACAAGAGACCGACGCTTATGCCCTTTGGAAGAAGTTAGAAGATATGTACCAGGCCAAGACCGCTAGGAACAATGCCCTACTGATGAGGCGCATTGTCAATATGAAGCTCAAAAGTGAAACTTCTGTTGCCGAACATACTAGTCAATTTCAGAGTCTGGTAAATCAACTATCTTGTGTAGAAATGCCACTTGGAGATGAAATGCAATCTCTACTACTTCTTAGTTCCCTTCCTGATAGTTGGGAGACACTAGTTGTTACTCTCAGCAACTCAGCCCTAGATGGCAAACTTACCATGTCTGTGGTCAAGGATGCACTGTTAAATGAGGAGGCAAGAAGGAAAGACATGAGCACAGTGAGACTCATGCCCTTGTGACGGAGAATAGAGGAAGATCACAAGGAAAACAACAAAGAAACAGTAGAGGGAAATGGCAAAGCAGAGGCAAAAGTCGGGGGAGATCATCGGATGGCCGGAAACCTTCTTATACCTGCCACCATTGCGGTATAGAGGGTCACATGAAGAAGAATTGCTACAAATTGCTAGAGGAGCGAGGCAAGAGCAATTCTCAAGCGAAGAACAAGGGCGGTGAAGCGCTCATCACAATCTCAGGTGATGTGGCGTATTGTACTATCAATGATGAAGCATGCCTTCACGTCTCAAGAGAGGACACTGAATGGGTGGTAGATACTGCAGCATCCTACCACGTTACTCCCCACAGGTATTACTTCACAGTTTACAAAGCTGGAGACTTTGGAGCAGTGAAGATGGGTAATTCCAATTCATCTGGAATAGCCGGGATTGGTGATGTACAAATAAAGACGAGTACTGGGAGCACAATCACTTTGAAGGATGTCAAACATGTTCCAGACCTTCGACTCAATCTCCTGTCAGTGGTATGTCTTGATGAACAGGGGTATGAAAACCACTTTAACATGGGCACCTGGAAAATGTCAAAGGTCGTTTTGACAATCGCTCGAGGACATGTTTGTGGTACATTGTACAAAACCCATTTGAGGATTTGTACGGATAGCCTCAACATTGCTGAGGAGACTTCTCAGAATCTGTGGCACTTGAGACTCTGCCACATCGGTGAGAAAGGGTTAACTACCTTGATGATGAAGAACCTTATCAGCATTGACAAGAATGTTGCACTGGGTCCTTACAGTCATTGTCTATTTGGTAAGCAACATAGAGTATCATTTAGTTCTACTTCAGCTAAAAGATTAGAGTTGTTAAGTTTGGTACACTCCGATGTCTGTGGTCCTTTCGAGGTGGAATCAATCGGTGGAAGCAGATATTTTCTGACTTTTATCGATGATGCTTCTCGAAAAGTGTGGGTGTATTTCCTGATGACGAAAGATCAGGTGTTCGAGTGCTTCAAGACATTTCACGTCTTGGTGGAACGTGAAACGGGGAAGAAGCTGAAATGTCTCCGATCTGATAATGGAGGCGAGTACACATCCAAGGCGTTCGATGCATATTGCTGAGAATATGGCATTCGACATGAGTACACACCCCTCAGCACAACGGCGTTGCTGAAAGAATGAATCGGACTATCATGGAGCGTGTCCGGAGCATGCTGAATATGGCTAAACTTCCGAAGTCATTCTGGGGAGAAGTAGTCAACACCGCATGCTATCTTATCAACCGATCACCTTCAGTACCACTGAACTTTAAAGTTCCAGAGAGGCTATGGACAGGTAAGGATCCTACATACTCACATCTTAGAGTATTTGGTTGTTCATCATATGCACATGTATCCGAGGAGCTCAGGCAGAAGCTTGATGCAAGAACTATCCCATGCATTTTCATTGGCTACGGAAATGAAGAGTTCAGATACAGGTTATGGGATCCTAAGGAGAAAAATGTGTTCAGAAGTCTGGACGTTGTGTTCCACGAAGATTTGACAATAGAAGACATTGAAAAACCCACAATGTCTCGGAAGTCAAATGAGGGTGCTAGAGTTTTAAATGAAGCACCAGAAGAGGACGAAGTGCATGAAGATAACTCAGAAGCAGAAGAAGACGAGGAGCCAGAAGAGAGTGCAGAGCAAGGGGAGACACAATCCACCCCGCCAGACACAGATGATGGTAGCTCTTCTCAGATGATTCCTACTGTTCGTAGATCTGAACGAGGGCATATACCATCGACAAGGTACACATCATCTGAATATCTTTTGTTAACTGAAGATGGAGAACCAGAGAGTTTTCAAGAAGCTGTGTCTCATAAGGATAAAGAAAAATGGTTAATAGCAATGAAGGATGAGTTAGAATCTCTGCAGAAAAATCAAACTTATGAGATCGTAGAACTTCCTAAAGGGAAGAAGGCACTGAGGAACAAATGGGTGTTCAAGCTGAAGAAGGATGCAAGTGGACAAGTGGTGAAACACAAAGCTCAGTTGGCTGTCAAAGGATTCCAACAGAAGAAGGGGATTGATCTTTGCACCAGTTGTCAAGATGACCTCAATCCGAGTTATACTTGGCTTAGCAACAAGTATGAACTTGGAGCTTGAACAGATGGATGTGAAGACAGCATTTCTTCACGAAGATTTGAAAGAAGAAATCTATATGCAGCAGCCGGAAGGTTTTGAGAACTCAAATGACAACTTTGTGTGTAAGTTATCTAAAAGTTTGTATGGCTTGAAGCAGGCACCAAGGCAGTGGAATAAGAAGTTTGACTCATGCCTGAAGAGTCAAGGCTACAAGAAGACTAGTGCGGATGAGTGTGTATACATCAAGAAACTTCTAGATGGTACTTTCATTGCTCTTCTACTATATGTAGACGACATGTTGATCGTTGGGAAAGATGCAGTGAAGATAAACCAGCTGAAGAAAGAACTCTCTAAGTCTTTTGATATGAAAGACTTGGGACCAGCTCAACAGATTCTTGGGATGCAGATCACTCGAGACAGGAAAAATCGCAAGTTATGGCTATCTCAAGAGAAGTACATTGAACGAGTACTTGAGAGATTCAACATGAATGATGCCAAACCAGTTAGTGTTCCACTTGCGAATCACTTCAAGTTGAGCAAAAGAACATGCCCTACATCCAAGGAAGAGATCGGGGAGATGTCAGCAGTTCCATATTCTTCAGCAGTTGGGAGTTTGATGTACGCCATGGTATGCACAAGGCTAGACATCGCACAAGCAGTGGGTATAGTGAGTCGTTTTCTCTCTAACCCCGAGAAGGAGCATTGGGAGGTAGTCAATTGGATTATCAGGTACTTGAAAGGTACCACGAAGTTATGTCTTTGCTACGGAGGAGTTGATCCAGTCTTGAAAGGCTACACAGATGCTGATATGGCTGGAGATATTGATAGTAAAAAGTCTACTTCAGGATATATCTACACTTTTGCAGGGGGAGCCGTTTCTTGGCAATCAAGATTGCAGAAGGGTGTCGCTTTATCTACAACAGAAGCAGAATACATTTCTGTTGTTGAAGCTGGTAAGGAAATGTTGTGGCTAAAGCGCTTTCTCCAAGAACTTGGGATCCAACAGGAAGAGTACAAGGTACATTGTGACAGTCAGAGTGCTCTAGACTTGAGCAAGAACTCCATGTACCATTCTCGTACAAAGCATATTGATATTCGGTATCATTGGATACGGGAGACGATTGATCAACAACTGTTGAGACTAGTGAAGATCAATACAAAGGAGAATCCATCAGACATGCTGACAAAGGTGGTGACACGAGATAAGCTAGAGCTGTGCAGAGACATAGTCGGGATGCTTGTTTTGAAAATATCCTGGAAGGGGAGAATTGAAGAATTCAATTTCCAGGACATATCCAAGTACAAGCAAATTGAAGAATCCAATTGCAACAACCATGAAGCTTCCTCCATGTGCAAGCAACAATCATGAAGCTTCCTCCATGTGCAAGAATGACAAAGGGAGCTTCCTCAACCACCATTGAAGTTTCCTTATGTTTAATCTCACTTTCCTTCCACCTTCCTAGTACCTAGTTTTGGTGCTATAAATAGAGAGCTTGGAGAGTCTTTCTATCATCAAGTGAATTAGAATAAATCATCATAGCACAACCAAGTTTGAGTTGTGAATATCCTTGAGAGATATGTGAGGTGTTTTTGACAGTTTTTAGTTAGAGCTTGTATGTCTCTTCTTTCTATTCTTGAAAGTAATAGAAGTGTTTTTCTCTCATATTAGCACGATCCTGTTATTCCCAACAACTACGTAATTCATTTGTTTTGGGATTCTTAAATTCGGAGTAGCAGCTAGAATGCTCCTTTGTTCGGCTATATAATCCTCATAATTTTTGGACTCTTTTACCGAGTACTGCCAATATTAAATCATACAACATTTTTAATTCTTTAACAAATAAAAAAGAGTTTAAAAAAAAGAGTAATGCACGCATATTATACAAGACTAATCATATGTTTCTAAAACTTCACCCATTTATTAATTTCTCCCTATAATCTCTCTCTTAGAGTCCGTTTGATTGCCCTGATATTGGCTGAATCAACATATTCTACTAAAATTTATGAAATTCTAGTTGTAGTGAATGAATTGACTTATTTTGTTGAATTATGAAAAATAAAATTATACTCCGTAATACATTTCATTAATAAAATAAAGAAAAAAATATATGAAAATAGCTAAAATGGTGCTATACAATAACTTCGGTCCATCAGGTCAACAAAATAACTTCAACCTTACTTATTTTTATTTTATTATTACATAGTTTATTGTGCGAAATCAAAAATTACGTATTTGGTGAAAAGTTGAGTGATAAAGCTAATAAGCCGAGAAACAAGGTCTCCAAATAGGCTCGCAATCTCTTTTCTTTTCTATCTCTTCTTCCTTTCATGCCAAATACTACAAATGATATAGTTTTTTTCAAATCATGATATGGGCATTAATGCTTTTGAAAGTTCATGAGTTCATTCTCATACCTCAACAAAATATTAGCATACATATTAATTTTTTTTATCAACATCATAGCATTACCTGATTCTATAAAAATTTCCAGTATTGATATTTATTATTTAATATTCCCTCCATCCTATTTTATATAGTCTATTTTTCTTTTTGGATTGTCCCAAAATAAGTGTCACATTTCTTTTTCTAAAAAGAAATATATGATCTACAACATTTCAATTTATTATACTCAGAAGTCAGATCTCAACTACAACTTTTAATTTTTTTAATCACTTTATTCATAATTGTGTCAAACCAAAGCAGGACACATAAAACGGGTTGCAAGTAGTACTTATCAAAGTGGCACACCCGGGGGCATGGCCTAGGTGTTACACTAGTTATTCCTTAAAAATAAAGGTTTACCCACATTAGTCCCTAGAAAATGAAGAGATTGTCTTTTTGCTTATTTCTTGGAGCGGCTGAACTAGATAGTCCCTTATATAGATAAATAGTGGCTAGATGAACCCATCTATATGATTATGGCTGACCTTTACCTGGCCGAGTTTGATATTAAGAAGCCTCTTCTATTCTTCAGTTTTTTTTTTTTATATTTTGTCAGATGAGCACATGAGCACACCAGAAAGACCTTAGTTTAAGATTTAGATAATTACCTATTACTTGTGTGTGATTCAGGTGTAAGCATTAATCTGAAACTCAAATAGTAGCTGATTCCACACAAATATTATCATGTAAGCAAGGTTGTCAAGGCTTATTAGAAAGTAAGAAAATAAACTCTACTTGTGAGTGTTACTTCCTAATCTAATTCTCCAAGTCATTTGGATTCACATTTAGAGATCATGGAATTGGCATTTGTCTTTCAAATGAAAATTGCAAACCAATACAGTTGGAATTGGCGCCGAACCGGATTGGACGGACACGAGGAGCCTTGACAATGGTTTTGATCATCGTGTCTGCTTCTGTTTCTGGGTTGTCGGGTTTGGATTGGAATTGGGAAGCTAACCCAATTGTTTTGGAGTGTTCAGAGTGCAACTCTGATGTAAAGGAGCAAGAAGTTGAAGTGGAAAATGTACCTTTCTTTTCGAGTATGGATGAATGGGAACGAAAAGAGGTAAGAAAAGAACACACAGCTTTAGGAGATCATTCATGGTTTAACTTTTTTGGGATGAAAGGACGCCTTTGCCAGTGGTATAGTGCTTTATATTGTACAGTATATGTCTTGATTTTGTTTATTGCTTAGCATTTTACAACTCTTTTTTGAGGTTATTATTAACTAGAGTTGCCGAACTTTGATAGGGTGGAGGGCTTGCTAATTTGGATAACACTTTCTTTCTTAATGCGGTACTACATTGCTTCATGCACATAGTACCACTAGTACAAAGTATTGAAACATATAATCATCCATCTCCTTGTGAGGGTAGGACCTTTGAACTCAAATTTTGGTTTTTGATTGTCTACTATAGCGGTTATGTAGAGTTTGTAAAAAGAATATATATACTCCTTATCATATTGTGAGGGTAGTATGTTTTTATCTATTACCTGATTTAATTTGCCTCTCTTGTAATGTGGTTTTATCATGTATTTTATTATACTAATTAAAAAGATCAACTTATGATTCTTATCATAATTTGCAGCTTGTAATGATTAATGAAGGGTATTGTGTTCTTTGTGATCTAAAAGAGCTTACAAATGTCACATTGGGTTCCAAAGGTAGCATTATCCATCTCTGGAAAATTGTCAAACAATTTAAGTTGTATCCATTTAAGCAGTCGTTAAAATTTTCATATTTGGACTTGATTATTTACTTTTCAGTCTGCTTTGTTAACTTAAGCTTATAATTGTTAATCTTTTCTATTCTCGGCATTCAAGGGATATGCAAACGCATATATTAGGCTTTTTATGTTTTGGTTTTTACCTACCCATGATGTATCACAAACTTTGTTCCACTTTGATCCTTCACTTATAGAAACAATCTTTTTGTCTAGTTTTCAGAGGTATCAACAAGAAGATGCTCATGAATTTCTCATGGGTTTTTATCATGTGATTTTTTAACGATGATCCCGCTTTTCTTTGTTTTGAGACAAACCTTGATTTTGTTCTGGAAGATTGCATTACTCCAACACAAGAACCCAATGAAAAGTCTTCAAATAAGGTTCGTGGTGCAAGTTTTCAACGTATGATTGCATTACAAAATGAATCAAAAAATTTGTCACGTAATATGAGGCAACATTGTTAATAGTGTATGACGATTGCATGTGTTCTATTATGTATTTTCTTTGTTTAGTGTTCTTTCGGACACGTAATGAGCTGTAATTAGTACTTATTTAAATTTTATGTTTCATTTTATTTTAATTTAAATGCAAGTCCATTTGTTAATATAATTTAGAAAAAGTATATTTATTAAATTAATTTACTCATGTTAGTCACAAAATATAATACTAATGTCGTTCATTCGAAAATACGTATTTTTTCGAATAAAACAATATAAAATTCGACGTAAGAGTAATAATGAAATTTCCAAAGTAATCAATTATTTAAGTAGTCTTATAATTACCTAATCAAGCAAAAGTAGTTTATTAGTTATAATCACACCTATATATTTAACACAAATAAGCTAATATCCTTTATATCAATTTTACAGTCAATCAGTCATTTCAGCCAACATATTACCAAACATTTTCATTTCAGCAAATTCAGTCTTTTCAGCCATCCCAACCAATGCAATTGTTACCAAACAGACCCTAAAAGATTAATAATTAAACTTTACATTTTAACTAGTTTGAGTTATTCAATTCAGATCTATTTTAAAAAGCTGAAACTCAAACCAAACTAAACAATTACTCCCTCCGTCCCGCTAAAAGATTGTCTCATTTTACTTTTCGGGAAATCCCACTCAGATTGTCTCATACTAAATTTGGTAAAGTTTGTATGTATCTAAATCATTCTTACTTTATTCTTACTTTATCAATTTAATATCAACCACACAAATTCACTTTTCTTAATAATTGTGCCACATTCTCTTGTCCTAATTTTAATGGGACGGAGGTAGTAATAGTTATGTTCGATTTTTGCATTTTGTTTCGCAATTTGTCATGTGTTTAGTTTGGCTATGGTTCAATTTACTTTGATTTGACTTTTGGTTTCAAAACAATATAAAGAAATTAAATTAAATGGGACTAAAACATAGTTAAAACTCCAAAATAGGACTTCAAGTTTTAAATTGCCTAAATGGGACTCCAGATTACACTTTTGCCCTTCTGCAATTAAAACCCCAATCTCTCGCCCCCTTCTGCAAATCGTCGGCCACACCCATCCGCAGCACATCGATGGCCCCTTCTGCAATCTACGATAGAAGTTCATTGTAGCAGCAGCACTCCACACATCCCTTGACAGCAGCTCCGCCATCGACTATGGCTACGCACCGCAACTCCAACGTCGACCACAGGTATCCTCCCCCTCCATTCTTTTTTTTTTCTTCTTCTTTTTCTCCTCCTCCTCCTCCTCCTTCTCCTTCTCCTACTCCTTCTCCTTCTTCTAATCCTCCTCAAATTGCTGGTCCTCTATTCTCTTCTTCTTTGGATTTTTTGGATTTTTTATAATTTGGATTGTTTGGAATTGAATTTTATTTATTCAGTAAAATGCCATTTGTATATTATGAGAATGTCAAAATTATTAGTTATTTGAAAAAAATGCCACGTTTGTGACATTACATGTATCAACATGACAATCTGAAAATGTCACTTCTGTTTCGAAAATGTCACTTTATTACTCTGGAAATGTCATTTTCTTCTTTGAAATTGTCACCTTAGCAAATGTAATGTCATAAAAAGTGACATTTCTACTTAGCTTCCAAATATTGTAATGACATAAAAGTGACAAAGGATCTGCCCTCCATGAGGAATGCCAGTTGATATGCGAGAATGTCCCTAAATATGCATAATGAAACAATAATGAAACATGACATTCTCAATATGGCATTTCTAAATATTGCAATGACATAAAAGTAACATTTTGTAAAAATACCCAAAAATTATGACATTCTCTTATTAAAAAAGTGACATTTTATGGAATCATTAGTCAGGCAATTTTGAGATTCAAAATTGATAATAAGAAATTCAAGTTCATATTCATCTTCATTTGAAACATTCAAAAATTAAAAATTAAATAAAAATTGAAATCTAAAGAGGAAGAGAACAGAGGACCCAACATGGAAGAGGATGGGAAGGAGAAGACCAAAAAAAGAAAAGATGAGGAGGAGGAGGAGGAGGAGGAGGAGGAGGAGGAGGAGTACCTGGGTAAGCAGGTGAGGCCACAATCGACGATGGTGACAAGAGATTCAATTTTGCCGTCTAAGGAAGGATCGCAATGCTTGTGTGTCGATGGTGTGCGTCTCTTTTTTTAATGAAGGGCAGTTTTGTCAGGTTACCTCTTTTTAGTCTTATTTAGGCAAATCACTCAACAATATATTTATCGGCACAGGATAACTCAAAATGACAGGTAATTATAGTTAATGGTCCTTGACCCTTCTAAACAGGAACATTGAGCCTTTTAAAAGAAAAACAAAATCAGGAGTAAGATTCTTCCATTTCAAGTTATGAATAAACTAACTAGAGTCTATCATTGTCACACTATTTCTGATTTCGAATCAGAGTTCCCATTAAATTTCAGAATATAAAAGCTAGTAGTACTAATTTTGGTTTATAACTAAAATCGTATCCAACCCTAAATGTTGGGTGTCAAGTTTTATATGTAATAGCTTAAAATATAATAATACTAGCTACTACCGTCTACAATGAAGTTTAATTCTAGTCCACTATTATTTCATTTATTAATTATAATATCTTATTATATATTTCAAACTTTTATCTTATTCAGTTTTTTACGATTCAACATTACTTTAGTGTAGTTTCCAGATAAATATCAATTAATATTATCATGGAAGAGAACTCTATTGATAGTTTTTTGGGGAGAACTCATAGTTAAACACGCTAAAGCAGAAATGCTCACTAGAGTGAAATAATTATAACATTCTTTCCTTTCATTTTCTGGAATGAAATAAAAGTTTCATTAGACGATGTTATATATGGGTTTTGACATTTTTTAGAATTCAACTACTTATTTAGTTACTAACTACGGAGTAAAATATACTTTAATATGCTCTCATGATTTTTTTTGACAGGTGAATAAAAGATGAGGAAAGTCACTGCCGGTCCTAGGAGGAGGGCAGCAGGGGCGACCGTCCTAGGCCCGAAAAAAGTTGAAAGAAAATTAGGCCCAATTTTCTTCTTTATATGTAATGTGAGTAAGCTTTTATTTATTTATAAATTCAATTATTTATATAGGCGTAATATGTAATTTTTGTTGATAGTTTGAAAATTTTAAAACACAAGTCGAAAGTCTTGATCGGAAACAAACAAGTTTTAAAAAAGAATATACAAGTTTTTTAAGTCAACACATTTATTATTAAATCAATACAAACACGTCTCTTCACATATTTTTAGCCTTTAAGGCTTTTTTTACTTTTTTTATTCCTTTTAATTACAAAATTACTAATTTTATACTATTGTCTTTGGACTATCAGTGCCGCTCAATTCTCAAACCTCATCCCAATCATTTACAATCAACTATGTCTCAAAAACACTGAATAATTATCATTTTTAAGCATTGAGTATGAGATCTTGAAAAAGATCGATTATAAATTAAAGCAATTACTGATGATTTCGCTTCACAATCTTCTTTTGTGATACTTGTGTTGTTACCGTTGTCCAAATATGTCATTAAATAATATTAAAGTGAATTTCATATATTCTTTATAACTTTATTAGATGATTTTAGGGAGAATTCCCGAAATAGGAGTAAAATGTTTGAGAATTCCAAACAGAGTTGTCATGTTTTTTTCTCTAAATAGGAATAATTATTGCCAAGTTTGAAAAATACTGTTATGTTTAAAGTCTTATTTTTGAATATATAAACGTCTTTAGTCCTATTTAAGGTAATTTCTCATAGTTTTATTATACTCTATAATTCTTATTTTAAGTAACTATAATTAACAGTCTACCTTCGAAATAAGACCATGATATTATATCGCCCATAGGCCCAAAACTGGACAGGACCGGCCCTGGGGAAAGTGATTCTGTTTCAAGTGGTGAAAGACAAGATAGTGCCGTTAATGAAAAATCCGGTGATGAACATGGAGCCAGCATAAAATCATGAATGTTGAAGATGGTGAGTTTTAAAGGATTTCAGACATGACACCAAATGAGATACGTGATCTACAGTTTGGCAGTGAAGAGGAAGCTTATGAGTTTTACACAAAGTATGCAAAATGTCATGGTTTTGTGGTAAGGAAACATAGTATATGTCGTAATAAAGAGAAAACATTTGGCTACACTTTACTTTGTATGCAATAAACAAGGTTTAAGAAACCCAAAGCATTTGACAAGGAACTAATTGTGATGCAAAGTTTCATATACATTATAAGCCAAAAGACCTTAGATAGGTACATGTTTTCAATAAAGAAAAGAATATAGACATCGCGATGTCATGACAATGGCATTTTCATATTCTACTTTTACAAAAACAAAATCATTCATAAAATTCGTATATCAACTCATCAAGCCTATATTCTTTTATAGGTTATATTTCTTGAGGAAATGATACACATATAAAAGACAAACATGTTGTATCTGATTTCACTTTACTTGAGTCAAGTGATCTACTACGTCATCAATTCGGATCGTATGTCCTCAATCCTCATTCACCTTTTTTTTTGTACACCATTTCATTCACCCAAATAGATCATACTCACAATGTGAACTTTTTGTTATGCCATGAAAGTAATGATTGTGGAGTGTGGGTTGCTAAATGGATGACATAACGTGTGCGTTGTGATGATTTTGATCAAGTACTTGTAAGGAGATGTCCAGTTACAACTCTATATATGTTAAGAGTTTATTCCATTTTTTTGTAT